TGTGTGTTGTTGCCTTGTGTGGACGCGCTGACAGCAGCAGCAGCAGTTGTGTGTCCAGAAATAGCAGCAGGATCAGATTCTCTGATCGGAGCGTCAGCAGCTTCTTTCTGTCTCTTTCAAGCACAAAACGGTTCACAGCTGAAGCAGCTTCAGACCTGGTTCTGGTTCTGTTTTCTGCTGAACCGGAGTCCCAGAACCAGACTTCAGACAGTCAGAACCGAGAGGCTGTAAGAATGAACTGATCTGACCACCAGCAGTACCCAATAAGTGACAAACTACAGAATCGTGTCTGAATAGAGACTAAACTTCACAGATGCCACCTGATCCGTCTGCATGTGCTGTTTCCCACAATGCACTGCAGGCCCAAGCCTCGAGGAGGTCACGGATCCTCCCGGTCCACTGGGTCTGAGGCTGAAGCAGCTCAGCCGATGTTTGATCGTTTAGTCTTTTCATCAGAGACCAAACGTTAATGACACGTCGGCAAACAACCAAACTGCAACATGGTGTAAAGGCTGAAGGCTGCTGAGGGAAAAACCCGATGAGGTTCTGTTTGTGTTCTGTTTACTTTAATAGAACGAATTATGCAAATTCACCAGAGTAATGTCCATATGATTGTTAAAACCCTACAATATCATAAATTATGCAAATTAACAGACTCATTTACATAACACACTGAGGAGTTTCTGTTCCAGGACCTTGTTTTTCACAATAGCGCCACCTACAGCAGTGGATGAACGCTTCAGTGAGCCGCTTATGGTTGTAAAGGTTTATTCCACCCAAAATGCTCCCTCCTCTCCATGCACCTGGAGGTTTATTCTTTTTTAAAAAGTACTTTCTGACAAATGAGTCACGGTTTTAACATTTATTCCACCCACATAGTTCTTTAGGTTTGTTTTGCTAGCATCAGTGGGCTACACAAGCTAGCTGCCCTTTGGAATAAACAGGTTTACGTTATCTGGCTGAAAAACAACACTGATAATGTGGTTTTACAACGATGCTGCTGCTGATGTAGCCACTGAGTCCGACTGGCCAGAGATCAGTAAGCATCACAGAAGTCTTTGTCCTGGTGGCCCATCGCTAACGTCAAGCTACGCCAGGGTACCTCCTCATCTGGTCACCTCAACCTGCCACGAAGCTACAAGAGAGCTGGTCTAGTTGGTCCTCACTTGTCTTGAATACCTGACCTTTGGCCAGATATTCAGCAGATACTGAATATTAAACAACAGAAGTAGGAGCAAAATACTTGATCATGACGTCCCTGGCAAACACCTGAGAACTGCATTTATAAATATGACTTGTTTCAGCTTCACTCACTTGATTTGTCTCCGATCTGAGGCCAGTTCTTGACGCTTAAAAACGAGATTTAGATCTCAGTGAGGTTCCTGAATGAACGAAGCTTTAACCAAACTAATAGAAGACATTTAACGTGCTTCACACATGAGCAGAGACTTTTACATTCATAATAAATCAAAAGAAAAATATGAGCAGATGAGACAAACTAAAGTCATAAAGATAGCATCAAAAACACAGCTTGAATACCATTAAAACGTGCAGCCAGACTCAGACTGACTTTTACCCGAAGAGCAACGTGACGCAGAGAAACCAGTTTACCTGACGGAGTTTGTTATTGACCTGAGGAAGCCTCACCTGTCTCGCTCCTCACCTTGTTTTCACCGACAACTCTGTGAAAACAATCCCAGGTTTGATGTGGAACTCCCTCCCTTCCCTCTGGCGCGTTACCAAAGTTTGGCAAACAGCCAAACTGCAACATGAGGAAGCCTCACCTGTCTCGCTCCTCACCTTGTTTTCACCGACAACTCTGTGAAAACAATCCCAGGTTTGATGTGGAACTCCCTCCCTTCCCTCTGGCGCGTTACCAAAGTTTGGCAAACAGCCAAACTGCAACATGAGGAAGCCTCACCTGTCTCGCTCCTCACCTTGTTTTCACTGACAACTCTGTGAAAACAATCCCAGGTTTGATGTGGAAAGTCCTGTCGGGCCACTTCAGCCGATCCGCCTCATTCAGTGGAAAAGTAGGTTTATACTGTCGGATGAAACAAAAGCAGCTGAGCTCCATGAACAATGTGTTTAAACAGAGGAACGAAGCGGAACGTCGCCTGGTTCCACCCAGCGACGGATGGACCTGTCCCACTGGACAATGATCGCTGAGAATAAGTTGTGAAGTTGTGTTATTGTAGTTTTCATGAATGAAACCAGAGACCCGTTCCATGATTCAGGTTTCACTTCATGCATCACCATGGTAACACCGGACCTGCAGGTGATGTTCTAGATAACAGATCAACACCTTAGAACACCTACGGTCCAATGAGTTCTCCTGAAAAATCACCACTAGTAACAGAAGAACAGTTTGACGGAGGTTCTACTCAGGTTAAAGACGACCTTCTGGGTTCCTGCTGGTTCTAATGATATTTTCATGAGTCACCTGCTACAGAATGTTCTGTTACTGATAAGGTTCACAGGCTACGGTGTCATAATAGATCTGTGAGGGTTCTGTTGTGCTTGTAATGGTTCCACTAGAGCTCTCATTTGGTTGTAATGATATCGTACCAGTATTCATGGAGGTTCTACTGAAGTCATCTACAACCCTATAGGCAGCCAATGGAGCCAAGCTGGTTCCAATGGGGTTCTGCTGCCATCATTCTGGTTCTAATAAGTTCCATCTAGAATTATATTGATTCTAACAACGTTCAAGGTGAATTCTAACAGAAATGAACTTGTCTGCAATGGTTGCTGTGGGGTTCTACTGGGATTGCTTGGGTACATACTGATTCTAATGTGATTTTCATGAAGGTATTGTTTTTATTCTGGGATTCTGACAGGTTCTATTTAGGAATGAATGAGCTCTATAGAGGTTCTACATGTTCCAGCTGGAGATGACCGATTTGCAGTGGTCGTTCTGAGGTCCTGTCAGTTCTGGGGTTCTACCAAGAGATGTACTGGTTCAAAAGAGGTTCTGCTGAGTTTGTAGCAGTCCAAAAACAGTTATGCTGAGATCACACTTGTTCTTCTGGGGTTCTTTAAGTTCTAATTGTGTTAGAGTTCTACTGACGTCTCATTTGCATTGATCTTATTTTGCTCAGGACATAATGGTTCTATTACAGTTCTTTTGAAGCTGGTTTTACTGGGGTCCGACTCAAGTGGTCATATTTCTGCATGTAATCTACTAGGGTTCTGATGGGGTACTAAAGTGAGGTTCTTCTGGGTTACACAGGTTCTTTAGAGGTTCTACTGAAGTCACACCAATTCATCTGGGGTACTTCAGGTTCTAATACAGTTCTACTGACGTCTCATTTGCATTGATCTTATTTTGCGCAGGACATAATGGTTCTATTACAGTTCTTTTGAAGCTGGTTTTACTGGGGTCCGACTCAAGTGGTCATATTTCTGCATGTAATCTACTAGGGTTCTGATGGGGTACTAAAGTGGGGTTCTTCTGGGTTACACAGGTTCTTTAGAGGTTCTACTGAAGTCACACCAATTCATCTGGGGTACTTCAGGTTCTAATACAGTTCTACTGACGTCTTGTTTGCATTGATCTTATTTTGCTCAGGACATAATGGTTCTATCAAGGTTATACTGGTTCTACAGGGGCCCAGTAAGGTCACATTGGGTCACAATGGTTCTATTAAGATGTTGATGTCATAAGTGTTTAATTAGTTATACAGGGGTTAGTGTTCTACTAAGGTTCTAATAGGATCAAAGTGGAATTCTACTGGGTCACACTGGTTTTTACAAGCATCAACCAATTTATCTGGGGTTCCAGAGGTTCTAATAAAGTTCTACTGGTGACTTGGTAGCATTTATATTAACTTGCTCCACTTCTTCTGAGGGTATGTTGGTTGTACTGTGGGTCCACTGAGGACACACTAGAACCATAACGGTTCTACTGAGATTTCAGACTATTCCTGCTTTAGGAGTCATATGAGAACCCAGTTGTGTTGTACTGTGGTTCCACTTCAGGTGTTCTACTGGGGTCACATTCGTTCTACCAGACTTCTCACAGATCAGTTTTCCTCGGTCATACTGGTTTTACATTTGTCACAGGTTCTGCTGTGGTTCTACGGTGGTCACACCATTTCTCCTGCAGTTCTACAGGTTCTACTAGAGTCAGTAGAATCATTCTGATACTGCTCAGTCCATAACAGATGTATGTAGGTTCTTCTGCGGCTTTCCAGGTTCCGCTGATGTCCACTGAGGTCACAGTTGATCCAAAAGGGTTGCACTGGGGTTTGACTGATGCCATTCCTGCTTTACTAGTTATATTAGAACCAGTTAGAATTAATGGTTCTACTGGGTTTACAATGAGGTTATCTTTGGTCACACTGGTTCTCCTAAAGTCTCACTGATAATGATAAGACAGTTCTGTTGACATCTCCCGAGCATTAATCTTATTTTGCCGATGCTACAACAGACCTAAAGGTTCTTCTGAGTTTCTACTGGGGTCGAAGTAAAGTTCTTCTCGATCAAACAGGTTCTACATGTGCCACACAGGTTCTGCAATGGGACTAATACAGTTGTACTGACATCTCACTAGAGTTCATCTTATTTTTAAGGCCATATTGGATCTAGAAAGGTTCTTCTGAGGTTCTACTGAGGTCACAGTGAGGTTATTCTGGGCCATACTGGTGCTACATATGTCACACAGGTTCTGCAGAGGTTAAGCCGGTTCTACTGGGGTCAAAGTAAAGTTCTTCTAGATTAAACTGGTTCTACATGTGTCACACAGGTTCTGCTATAGGACTAATACAGTTGTACTGATATCCCACTCGTGTTAATCGTATTTACTGAGCCCATAATGGATCTAGAAAGGTTCTGCTGGGATCACAGTGAGGCTGTTCTAGGCCATACTGGTTCTACATGTGTCAAACAGGGTCTGCTGAGGTTCTACTGAGGTCATGTTGACGGTACTGGCTCACAGAACGTTTTCACTCGGAGGTGGTTCCGAGGCCGTTTGAGGAACAGCCCGGCGGTAGAACCGGAAGGAGAACGACCTGCGGTGAAAGCGCTCTGTGATTGGTGGAAGCAGAGACGAGGCGGGAGGCGTCAGATCTGCCACAGGCTTTTATTGCAAAGTGGCTTCCTGTGATCTCAGAAACAACGTTCCACTTTAAGGCTCCAGATGTCGTCGTGTTCTAGTTGTTGTTGTTGTTGTTGTTGTTGTGGGGTCTTCTCTCACTGCTGGGGTCAAATCTGCTCGCTGTAGTGTTTCTTTACAAAATAAAGGTGCACTCTAACTAACTCTGGTGTGACGTTACATTCAAACTGAAAGTAAGGCGACAACCAAACAGCTAGAATGACAGTGAGTCCGACAGGAATGAAAACTGAGGTAAACAAACGTTAGCTCGGTGACGTGAATACAGAGAACTGAGCGTCGGGATCTTGTCTGTCTCAACCTGTAGTGTTTGAACAAAAAGTGCTGGCTGATAATCGTCTTCTCGTCTCGATGCATAGTCTAACAATGTGTCTGCCTGCGGGGAACATACTGGAGAAGAAACAACAGTTTACAATAATAAATAAAGTCATATGTAAAAAGCGTCATGAGTGCGACCCGTGCGCTACGGGAGGCGGAGCTTCGCAGCTCGCCTCCGACACCGAGGCTGCTTCCTTCACATCGACTTTTTGGCAAAACTCTGGCTGTGAGAGAGACAACCTTCCTGGGGTTTGTAGTGAGTCGGTTGGTGGTGTTTCTGCCAGGTGAACAGAGTCATGTGGCAACAGAGTGGGCGGGGTTTGCATATCATTATGTTAATGAGATCTCCTTCATGTTGGAAAAAAGCAAAAAGAACAAAAACAAAAAGAAAACAGAGAGGCCTAAAGACGCTAACTCCTTCAGGACATGATACAGACAGAGCAAGCTGCTGGGTGAAGCGGCGGTGTTCAGGTGGGGTCAGGTGCTTCGGTCCGGATGGCACGGCGGTTGGCTTGGCTCCGCTCGGCTCGCCGCCGTGACATCACAGCGGTTTGCCCTCCAGAGACACCACCACGTTCCCGCCCAGCTTCTCAGCCAGCGTGCTGCGGTCCTGGATGTCGTCCAGCCCGTTCACCTGCCACTCGTGTTTGATACCTGAGGAGACACACCTGAGGTCAGCACCTGAACACACACCTGAGCTGAACACACCTGAACCCGACGTCACGCTCCACACAGGTGCATCACGTTGTTACATTTACGGTCATCTTAAGAACAAACAATAATTTCAGGATTTAACTCGTGAACACGTCGTTGTCGGAGCCCCTCAGGTGACCCGAACGCTCACCTGTAAACTTCTTTTTGATGGCATCTTTAGAGCTGGCGTAGATCATCTTGCTCTTCAGCGGAGCGCCATCTGGAGCCCTGAGGAGGAACAGCACCACAACGTCAGCTCTCTGTTTGTGTCTACGTCCAGTAACGATCAGTTTGTGTGTCTAAGAGGAGCTTCTCTCTTTGCACTGAATGAATCTGTTTGTGTCTTTTTATTTGGTTCTGTCTCTCGACGGTCCATCAGCGTCTCTTTCTGTGTCGCTGTTTGGTGACTCCTGATATTTGAATCATTCTGCTGTTTGTGTTCATGTTGCAGCTCTTTATGAGTCTGTTTTACTCTCTTTCTGCTCATTTTTCAAATCTTTGTACTTATTTTTCTCTCTCTGTCGCTCTTTGTTTGCTCCTCGTGTGTGTTTCCAGTAAATCTGTGCGTTTTATGTCCATCTGCATCCGTTTGTGTTCATTGTGCGTCGTTGTACTTTCTTCTGTTGCATCATATTTTCTGTCCTGTTTATGATGCTCAGCTTTTATTCTGTTTTATGCGACAATAAACAAAAACAGTTGATCTATAAGACGAGGAGCATCCAGAGACACATTTCAGAGGCAGCTTTCTGACTGAGACTCAGATTTGAAAAGGTTAAAACACTCCCAGAGTCCGTTCAGAACCGAACACGCCCAACGACCGACCGCTGTGAACACCTGAGACAGCAAACACTGGAACACAACTGGGATCAACTGGGATTTAAAAACTATGTGAGCAGAGGCTTCAGGTCCAATGATGTAGCAGCAAGTTAGTGAAGCTTAAGACGCTGATCTGCAGGGTGAAAGTGCAACGAACTTATCAGGTAATAAAGGCTGATCCAGGCAGCTTTCAGCTCCTCCTGCAGTCGACCATGTTTTAAATCACTGATCCATCGGCTGCTGTGAACTCTCCCTCATAAATGCCAGAAAGCTCCTGGTGCAGCTTCTTCTTTATTCAGTCTGACAGTTCAGCCCTGATGACTTAAAGCTGAACATGTCAAAAGTTTTATTTTAATTCTGCAAATCAGTTTCTAAACTAATTTCAGCCGTGCTCCGTTCAGATAAACACCTGATGTATGTCTGCTAAGGATTGACCGATCGTCAGGGCTGGCGTTTCTCTGATCATCACTGTTGTCATTTTTATTCTCGACAATATAAATCAAACGCAGACACACCGAGCAGAAGATGCTGACGTTGTGATCAACACCACAATCCTACAAACACGCTCAGTTTGTGTTACACTGAAAACAACAGAATAATTCACGTTGGTGCTACGTTAACGCGATCAGGAAGAGGTTAGCCGTGTCTCTTAACCTGCAGCTAACGCTAACTGTAGCATCTTTCTAACATCAGATCAGCTTTAAAACTTTGTTCTCTGCAGACACACAACCTGCAAAAACTGAACAAAAAGCACAAACGTCTCCACAAATTGGGACATTTGCTGCTTTGACAGTGGCTAAAGCTACGCTAACGGCTAGTGGCTACATTTGGAGGCAGCCACAGATTAACCTGGAAAACAACCAGAAATAATGGTTTCAGATTCTGATCTCAGTGGGAAAGAAAAGCGAGACAAACAGTTATCAATCTCACAAACGAGAGCGTCGTAGCGTCACCAGTGTTTACAAAGATTTCATGGTGCTCATGATGGTGTTAGCTGTAGGCTAAAAGGCACAGCAAGCCTCTCAGTGGTAGCATTAGCCTAGCACATTTAGGAGAATAAGGGAATTATTGTGTATTGACAGTGCAACAGGGAGACTGTTGGTCTGAGGTCGAGGTGTTTGTTTATTTACTGGAGCTGCTAATGTGCTCGTCTGTCCCTCTGTGTAAACAACAGCCTTCATGTTATTGGCTGTTACGAATGACTTTTAACCAATCAGATGATACTGTGGGCGGGACTTTGTTACAAGTAGGTGCTATGTAGCCAGGCAGCTAGCAGCTAACCCCTGCTGTCTGGAGAACAACCATGATGGACCCCCAGTGTGCTGAACCCTGAACCTCCCCAGCACTGACCAGAAGATGAAGACCAGGTCTTCCTTCTTGGACTCCTTGGTCTCGTAGGTGGCGTCGTAGAGGCCGTATCTGCAGTCGTTGAGGGGGAGGAGCTTGACGAAGCTGCAGTACGGGTCGTCGACGGTCTCTCCGATGTCGCCCACCAGGATCTGCTTCCCCTCCTCCACGATGATCTTCTTCCGGTCCTCGCTCAGGCAGAACAGCACCGCCTTCTTCCTCTTCTTCACCTCGTCCTGGGTCGACGACTTCCTCACCTTCATGTCGTTGAACACCCTGATGACCTCATCGTTCACTGTCACACCTGAAGCCTGCCGACGACAAACACCTGCTTAGAACGGGTCTCTGACAAGTCAGTGAACGCAACGCCACAAGGAGCCACCAAACACCAGCCAAAACAGCAAAGAGTCCATGAATGCAACATTAGAACAAGTCAACAAACTCAATAAACGGGGAGTCAGTGAATGCAACATTACAGGAAATCAGCAAACGCCCTGATGGGTCACTGAACACAACGCCAGTGAAGCCATCACCATGGGCAACTGGCACGTGCACCATGAGGGGCCAATAAACACGACGCCATTAGGAGTCAGTAAATGCAACATCATGAGGAGTCAGTGAACGCACGTCACAAGGAGTCAGTGAACGCAACGTCACGAGGAGTCAGTGAACGCAACGTCACGAGGAGTCAGTGAACATCACGCTATGAGATGCCACCAGGACATAATGAAAGTGACACTATGATGGAGTTAAAAAACGTGACGCCACAGGGGGTCAGTGAACACCACGGCATGAGGAGCCAATGAACGCGATGCCCTGATGAGTCTGTGAACACACCACTGTCCCACACGGAGTCAGTGAACGCAACACCAACGAACCCTGAGGAGTTTGAACAGAGTCTGAACCTGGTTCCTGTTTGAGCAGAACCACCTCAGAACATCTGTGAAACCCGTCCAGGTTCTGAACTTAGTCTGCACTGCTGACAGAACCTTTTTTGTTAAGCGATGGTGTGTGAACGCATTCAGACTCTTCTGAGGACGTTTTCCGTGCACGCGGGGCGACGTTCGGTCTGTTAATAAAGTTTTACTGCTGAACAATAAAGCCTCTGTGCAAGTCGAGTCCGGTCGGTTCTCAGAGGAACAAACCCTGAAGCCTCCGATCAGAGCGATCAGCTGACTGTCGGACTAACAGAACTCAGCTGATCTGATCTCTGCTGCACAAACCTCCTCCGCATTCGCTCTGTAACCGGGTTTGATCTGGAACCTTCCTCTGAGCTTCAGCCTGTCGATCAGCAGACATCTGAAGACGCCACGTTGGACTCTGGACTCTGCTGCCAGACGTTTTATTGATGGAGCGATTGATTAATCATTACTGGAGTTATCAGCAGACGAACTCAGCAACTTTACCATCTGAATCTTTGTCAGATTTAACGCTGCAGTTTGTTTCTTCACTGAAACCGACCAGCAGCTCATGATTATTTACAATTAGTTCTGTGTTTCTGAATATTACAGGACTTTTGTCACTCGATCGATCAATCAGTTGTCAACCACACATTCCTCACATGAACCTAAACATTTATCAATAAACATCAGGTAAAGTCCAAAGAAGCAGCTGAAAAATGAAGAAATTCATCCGTAGAACGACGATAAAACTCAAAGTTAATGAAGAATAAACTTTTTTAAACCCTTCCATGATGCAGCGGATTATTTTTATCATCAACTGGTTGTTTTCTTGTTGATTTAATTTGTTGTTGCGTCTATAAAAAGTTGCTAATATGTGTGTTAACGTACTTTACTTTAAATTTTCTTTAATGATTATTTTCCATCGCACTAGACGGTAACAGACTAAAAAACGTCAAACCAAAGGAGCTGCGACCAGAAAACGTTTGACAAAATCAGCGTCGGTGTAAAGTTTCAGCTCAGATTTAAACCGAGGAGGCTTCAAGTAGAAACTCTTCTGGAAACAAACAAAACAAAACAACAACTGCTTTGTATGACATTAGCTTAAAAACAACGCTTCTGCTCATTAACGTGTTTAAACCCGACACGCTTCGATGTGATTTTATTTCCAGGTTCATCTCTCTGTGAGCTTTACATCTGGAGGTTGTTTGAATCTAAATCAGATCGACGGTGACGAACAACTTCCTGTTTGTGTTCAGAAATCGTTCACGTTTGTTTCAGGTGCAGCTAACGATCAATTAGTTTCCACAGAGATGACGAACGTCTGGTTTAGCCTAAAGATCTTCAGTTTACCGTCACAGAGGACGAAAGAAACCAGAAAATATTCACATTTAAGGAGCCGCAGCCACAGAGTTCAGACTTTTAGTTCATAAAAAACGACTTTAACTGGTTATTAGAACAGCTGGCGATTGATTTAAGAGCTAATAACTGATCGACTAGTTGCTGCATAATACCGTCGACGAGTCAGATTCGATCATTTCACACAAAAAATAAGCAAAACCCAGCCGGTGGAGCTTCAGATAAACGATAACGAAGCTGTTAAAGACGCTTCAGACCGATTATTTGTCTTTAAAGTTGTAAATAATTCCTGAAATGTGACTTAAAATCTACAAGAAGCTGCAATCAGGGAATGTTTATTTTCTTAAAAATGACTCAGCCCGGTTAATCGATTACCGATACAGCTGCGGAATGTTTATTCGTTTTAATTTGACAACTAAACGACTAATCGTTGCAGCTCAAGACAGCAGAACCGTGACGTGGCTCATGAGTTAAGGGTGAAGTTAAGGGTTGAGGGTGAAGTTAAGGGTTAAGTTAAGGGTGAATTTGGAACCATTTTTAATAACCGATTTAGGATCTTAATCAGATTCCTGCTGCATCTTCTCACGTTTCACAGAATTTAGATTTTTTTAAATTTCTTAAATCATCAAACACATGAACTGAACGTAGTCAAATAACCGATGAGTCACTAAATCTGTTACGAGTGGACAGAATTTAATGCAAACTGTTTTTGACAGCAGGTGGATTAAAACATAAACGAGCTCAGACGGCTGCAGTCTTTATATTTCATATTTTATTGATCCGATCAGCTGAAGACGGTTTCTAACAAGACAAAGTGAAACCCTGAGAGCCTCAATAATCTCATTTAACTGCAAAAATCTAATTATATCTGCACTTCTGTGATAGTTTGGATCACTTCTCCGGGAACAGTGTGCAGAACTTTCTCCTCTTTCAGCTTCTTAAATGTCATTTTTTCTACTTTTTCTCAGGTGTGATGAATAAAACATCAGACTTCAGAGGGTTTTATCGCCCAAGCTGCTCATTCAGAGCTGAAACCAGCAGATATCTACACGTTAAAGGAGTTTCTTCACTGTTGACTTTAATCTGTTGTTGCTTTCTTGTAGATTTTTAAGCAAAAGTTTTTTAAAAAACTCAAAATATTCAGTTTACTGTCGGATGTGACGACACAAAAAGCACCAAGAGGCTCGAAAACCAGCAAATATTTTTATATTTTTGCTACTTCTGCGTTAACAAACCCACAAACCAGCACATCAGCTGTAAACTGATTTTACTGAAAAAAACAAACTCCAGCTGCTAAAACCAAAAGACTTCATCAGATATTATTGATCAGCCGACATTAAACTGTTCAGACAGTTAATCAGCTGATCAGACAAATAGTTGGTTAATGCTTCTGATTTTCTATTAACATCTGATTTATTGATTATTGACCAGAGAAGCTGCTGCTGATCAGAAAACCATCAAACTCAGCTCATGTGATAAACTGGATCAAACAGACGAGTTATGAGTAAAAGTCCAGATTAAATCAGAAACACGGTGAATCATTTCCATCACTGCTGATTTATTCTTCAACCAAACTCATGTTTCAGCATCAAAGAACAGATTCGAAGCTTTTCTTTGACCAACACTGAACTGAACATTTTCTGGACTTTTGATTTGAACTGAAACTCTGATCGGCAGAGGACCTGCACATGGAGCCGATAATCAATTCATTAATTTAAAAAAATCTGAACAATCAAAGTGATCGTTAGCTGCAGCTCTATACTGACGTGAATCAGGTTCAGGAGGACCAGAGGCTGAATGGACCCTCACAGGACCAGAACCAGGCTTTGGGCTTCAATCGGTCACAATTTAAACGGACCCTGGTTGGGACTGAAGGCCTGCGGCTGGTTAGCTGCTGGTTAGCTGCTGGTTAGCTGCTGGTTAGCTGCTGGTTAGCTGGTCAACCGGTGACTCAGGAAGCGGCGCCCAGCCTGCGGCCTCCCCGGACTGCACAGTCACGGTCTGACTCACGAACCCGGAATTAACCTGGACCACAGCCGGCCTCCGGGACCCGCCTCAGCCCTGGCCAGCGGTCCCGGCCGGCCCCGTCCTAGCCGGGCCTCGGTCTCCGTTCCCGGCTTGGTGCGACCAGCTCAGCCCGGCGGCACCGCAGCCGGAGTAAGATGGCCGCCCCGGGCCACACGGCCTGGGGGCAGGCCCGGCCCAGCCCGGCCCGGCTCGGCTCGGCCCCGAAACACGAACCGCTAATTCGAATAAAAATGTAGAAAGGTTCCACCGACGCCGGCGGACCAAACACCGACACCGGGTCCGCTCGTCGGCCACGTAAACACCGAGTAACCGTCGCAGGCGGCGGACGGAGCGGCTAACTAACGGAAACCATGCTAGCTAACGTCACGCTGCCCGCCGAGCCGCATAACGGTCCTCGGAGGCCCGCAGGCGGCGCGCCGAGCTCCCGCCGGCCGCCCAGGACCTCCATCCGACGCCGGGCACCGTCTCCGGCCGCTGCTTACCATGTTGTCCCGGGGTTTGTCCGCGCTGCTTCGCCGTCAGATCGGGGTTTCTCAGGGGTGAAAGGTAGCGGGGAATGTGGCCGGCCGACCGGAGGAGGAGGAGGAGGGAGGAGCGGGGAGGAGGACCGAGGGGGAGGAGGGAGGAGCGGGGAGGAGCAGCGGCACCACACCGACATCTGGAGGAGCGATCCGGATCTCAGTCCGGTGTCAGTCCGGTTCGGCAGAAGAGAACCGAGAAAACAGACGGAACCAGAAAAACAACATAAAATAATAAACCTGATCCAGCGAGTCACAATAATAACATCTAACTAATTAACCTGAAATGTGGCAATAAAGGTTTCATTTGGACATAAAAAGTCTGAATTTAAACTTTAGAAGCAAAAACATTCAATAAAAGTTTAAATATCAGATCAGCACCGACAGGGTTTTAAAGTTGTTTTTAAAGAGCTTGTAATGTTCTTTATTTCTACTTTATTTGACTTCTTTGTATTTTTTATTTGTATTTTTCCATATCTCTCTATTTATTTTATTTATTTATATTTTCCTGATCTCTCTCTACTTCTATTTATTTCTACTTATTTCTATTTATTTCTATTGGCTTACAACCAGACTCAGTCATAATTTGACGCCACGTCACTTAAATGTTGACAAACGGTCAAAATTTTATTTCTTTTATAAACATTTATGAAAAAAAAAAGTTTTAGATTAAAACTTTTAGAAGTAAAAAGTCAACATTTTAGCAAAGTCATAAAAGTGATGTTTTGGTTTTACTTTTTTGTTAATAAGTTTGACATAAAACGTAAAATATTATGAATGAATGAATGACATTTGCTAAACAATAATAGTTTTCAGTTTTAATATGACATTGGGATAAAAATCCACAGCGATGAGATAAAAAGTCTCCATTTATGATCTGAAATTAGGAGATACAAATAAATTATAAGAAAAGTCCAAATTAAAACATATAAGTGATCAGTAAGACCTGTGATGTAAAACTGGGGATAAAAGTAAAAAAAAGAAAAATATGGAGTTTGGAACTTATAAAATACAAAAATGCTGCTTCAGTAAAACAAAGTCACACCAAATAACATCCGCTAAAACTGACTTTTTTCTATTTTAACTTCTACTTTAGCACCTTTTTAAAGCTTTACTTGTTATCGAGTGTTTTTAGACGGCTGCGTTGGTTCTTTAACACCAGACAACAGGTGTGTTTGTTCAAATTAAGACACCTGAAAGTGATCATTTCAGCTACAATATCAAAAAATATGAAATTAAAAGCAATAAGATTAAAAATAAAAAATGTGACATAAAATTCTAGATTTGTAATTTATTTTTTAAAAAGAAAGGTCAAATTTATGAGATAAAAAGCAAAGGGTTAAAATAATTAAGTAAAAATGACCAATCTACGCTGAGAAATTAAAACATTTCACTCAAAAAGTGTAAATTATGAGATGAAAACTCACAATGACGTCGTTAAATCCAAACATTGTGAACAAAAAAACAAAGTGTGTGAAGATCAAGAGGCTCCAGTCGCTTATAAAAAGTCAATTTATTTTTACATTAGAACAACAAACAGCGTCAGAGGCGGCAGCTAGCGTCATAAATAAAGACAACGCAGAGACTTGAACTAAATAAATACACAGCAGAGGGGGAGGCAGGGGAGGCAGGGGGGAGTGTAGTGTCTACAGCTCACCTGCATCCGACACACAAACACCATCGTCATCAGAGAGGAAGAACAAAACAAACTAAAGCAGGAAAAGTCGCAGTAGTCAAAAAATACAAAACTACAAATCCACAGAGGCCTCACAGCTCAGGTTCTTAAAGGGACAGTTCAACGTTTACCGTCTGGAGGCAGGTTTAGAGTCACCTCCTCTGATTTTAATCCAAACCCAAGAGTCATTTTACAGATTTTAATCTGAGACAAGGCTCAGTTTTTATTTTAATTTTTGTTCAGATGTTGTTTTTAAAGCAGCTCGTGTCTGCAGCGTATCAAAGATGCACCGACAACTAGAACTAAATCACTGTGACACTGAGGGAAACATAAAAATAGACAGAATCTCAATGGAGTTCTGAACTGTAGTTTTCTCTGAAGTGGAATCCTGGAGGTTCGTTCTAAAGCACACCAGAGATTTCTATTCTCAGGAACTTTAAATGACGTTAAATCTGAAAACACAGATTTAATAGTGAGTTCAGATTTGACCGAGTTGGGACTTCAACAGTGAGCAAGTTACTACTAAAATACGCTGAAGAACGCCTAAAAACAGACAAAGTGTGAATGGAGTTCTGAACTGTGTTTTTCTCAAAATATTTAAGTGGATTTCTGGAGGCTAACCGACAGCCTGACTCCACATAATAAACTGTTGAACTATTCCTTTACGCTCAGGTGTTTCTCCAGGAAACAAACAGTTTCTTCCAGGTGAACTCACACTTTGATGGATTTTGTGTCCTGAGATCTAGAAGTTTCTGTCACAACGGAACCGATCGCCTCCTGAAGATCAACAATCTGATTAAACGTCCTCCAGTGTCCTCTTTTCTTTGGGTAAAATATATATTTTAATTTTCGACATGGAGGCGGAGTCGTGGCTACAGTGGGCGGGGCCTGTGCGTTTAGAGGCGTGGTCAGATAATTTGGGGGAGGAGCCACACACTGATGAAACCTGGAGATTAAACTACAGAAGTCTGTGGAAGCCAAAACAGAAATAACTCACTAAATCCAACTGAAACTTGTTTCCACTGGAAAGTATTTACAATTTCAAAATTCATTTTTTAGTTTTGGTGTTTGAAAATGTAACAAAAGCTGAAACAACAAGGTCTGAATGGAGTTGATGAACTTCACCTGAATTTTTAACGAAAACCTTGTCGATGTTTTTTCTTTTTTTGGTGCCAAAACTAAATGTTCAACTCAAACTGAACTCACTTTACAAACTGGACTCTGGACTGAAAACCAAACAGACATCTTTTTAACTGGACCTTAAAAATTTAATAACCTTCAAAACAAAACGACCTCAAATCAGAACATAAATGTAAATAAATCCAGTCTGCAGGTTGGTGCTGCGACGTCCTAAATCAAAGGTCTACTTACTGAAATGCAACCTGAGCTTTCGACCGCAAAACAAAGAGTCTCTGAGCAGGTAAGGTGGTCATGTGATCACAGGTGAGTGAGAACTCTGGATAATCGATTGTCCACTTTTAAACTGATCAACAAACGTCGTGACCTATTCTTGTTAGTATGAATAGTTTCTGGTTTCCCTCCTTTCTGGCAGTAAACTCAACATCTTTCCACCGTTTTCTGACATTCGTGACACCAAACAGTTAATGGATTAATCCAGAAAACGATCAGCAGATTAATTAAACGTGAACCTTTAGTTGCAGCCCTATTTTGGTCCACGTGTTGTCATGTGACCACGGTTGTAAATGTCCTGAAGAAGGCCATGAGATGCAGCTGAAAGCACCAGAACCTTTAACCTGAGATTCCCGAGAGTCTCCTGTTTTTTTTCTCTCTCACAGTGGCAGGTTTTTATTTTTCAAACAGCAAAATGAAATCTTTAAACTCAAATGTGTGTAAACGGAATCACTTTCCTCAGGTTTCCGTTCGTTGAGCAGCTGCTCCGCTTCAGGAAAAACCAGCTGCACCATTACAAAAGAAGATTCAAATCAAACCGGGTCCCTGAGCGAGCGTTAGCGGCCTGATGTCAGTGCAAAGCTCAAGTTCTTTAGTGGTTTTTGCTTCTCTGGTTAAAGGGAACCTCAGCTGGGACTCTACTGTCTCTACTGTCCTACAGCACCACAGGAATGTGTCTGCTACGTGTCCGCCGTCCATCCACGCCTCCGTCGGCCCGCAGCTCTGCTCCGGCCAGGTGAGCAGGCGAGAGGGGGCGGAGCCACAGCGCAGAACGTCTGAGGTGAGTTTTAACCGAAATCAGCTCCAACTAGTTTTAAATGCTGCTCCGGCCCCTCCTCCTGCCCTCTGGACCAATCAGAGTGCGGCGGCGTGGACGGCAGTGAGGTCACGGCGGTGCGTTTGGTTCAGTGCCGGGAGCGCTTGGCGGGCGGGGTGGAGCCGCGCTCTGATAGGCCGAGCCTGCTGAGCTCGGAGTGGAAGAACTCCTGAAGACGGTGGCCGGCCTTGGCCTCGTTGGTGTGCCGGGGGTTGTACTGGAGGCAGTTGGAGAACATGAGCTCCACGTCTGAGATGAACTCGCCTGCAGAGGAACATTCAGGATTAGCTTCACACCCACGGCTACGTCTCAAAGCAGTTTAGTAGAGACCTCTGTTTAGCAGGGAACTCCTTTCAGATTCCTCTTGGATGTAGTTTCATTTATAAACGGACGTGTTCAGCGCTGATGGACTGAACCAGATCTGATCTAACTGATTAAATCCTCGTCTGTCTCACCTGCTGTCTGGTATTCACAGTTGTTGACTTTCTCTCTGATGGTGCTCAGAGCGATCGGCTTCTTGATGATGTCATAGTAGTCGGGAACCTGCACAGGTGAACACAGACAGGTGAGTTATTGTGTCCCGTAGAAGGAGACACGCAGCAGCAGCTACAAGTCTGACTGAAGCTCAGTTCAATCCCGACTCAGACTCATCTGGCGGCTCATCAACATGTTTTACATCCAGCTGAGTCTCTCTGTCCTTCCTGTGTGTCAGTGTGGGTGGAGCTTATTTCTGATCATTTTAAACGCATCAGTGGATCTTCATACCTGCGTCCTGGACACCAGCTTCATGAACGGCCAGCTGTCTTCGTGTCTGACCAGCTCCACGGTCAGCTGTTCGCAGGCCGACAGCTCATGGACGCCGTGGTTCCTCCCAGAGGAGCGCCGGCTGGACGAGGAGGCCGAGGACGAGGAGGAGGACGGTGGGAGGACGGGTCGGACGGGTTTCGGAGGCGGAGCAGCGTCTGGGGGAGGAGCAGCAGAGGAGCAGGTTTACCTCACAGGATCAGAACCACCTGGTTTCACTTCAGTCCACATGAACCTGCCTGGACCTCCATGTTCACCTTTTACTGACTGTGACACGTGTCGTTTACCTGAACCTGACAGGTAAACAGTTCTGATTGGTTCCTCTCTGACCGCTGAGTCGGTGTTTACCTGTTGCACATGTTTACTGGCTACTGATTGGTTGATCAGAGGGCTGAACTAGAAGCCCGATTAGTGGGTTATCAGGTATGTCGAGCCTAAGTCAGAGTTTTCAGCGTCACGAAGGTGGCTCTCTTTTTACCTGCTACATCTCCATGGTAACCAATGCCGTGGAGCTAGATCTCCATGGTAACTGATGCTGTGGAGCTAGATCTCCATGGTAACTGATGCTGTGGAGCTAACCTGATCAAGAGCAGGTTATGTTCAGAGTTTCAGATTTAAATCGACTGAAAGAGTGTCTCCCTCTAACCAGATCGTTTCCTCACTGTTATTTAAGACGCGTTAAACGCATAGACTGTATAAAAGATGGTCGTAGCTACTGTGACCACCCGTTGGTTTCTGCACTGGAAAATGAAGCCAGGATTTTGCTACTTCCTGGTTGATATCTTGGATTTTTGGAGCCAGTGACGCAAAAATCGTGGGAGGGGGGCGGAGCCATAGGAGCAGCGATTGGTCAGACGGATTGAGAGGCAGACGAAGCGAGCTTCATCTGCATCGTTGCTGCCGACTGTCAATCAAGGCAGCCACGCCCCTTGCCCCGCAAAGTTTTGACGATTTTTAAAAAATTCAGTATTGATTTATTTTCAGATTGGCCACCTGATCTCTGGATTTGACCATGAAAACTAATAAGAAAACAATCCTGAGCTGCAGGAATGCAGTATTTGGTGATCTGTGATCACTTCTTTTCCAATTCACGTCTATGGGAGCCAGGGCTTTTTGGAGCCAGGATTAGCGGACGTAGTGATATTGCAGGTTTTTGACACTTCCGGGTTGGCTTCATTTTTCAGGGCCGGTTGCTACGTCCATCTTTTATACAGTCTATGGTTAAACGCCTCCTTGCATGTGAACAGAGTCTGAAGCAGAAAGCCTGAGTTGACAGAGAAAGTTGAACCACCTTCGTGAGACCTGTGATCTCCGACTGGAGCTTTAGTTTATGTCGAGCCGACTTACACAGAGAAAGCCTGAATCTGTTGAACTGGCTTCATAGCTCGCCCCTCAGACAACTAATTCATCAGTAATTAGCTGCTTTCTGTTTTTGTATTTATCGTTTTTTTAATTTGTTTATGAGGCTAATTGAGGATTGGTTGTTTACTGCTTTCTGATTGGCTGTTTACTGCTTTCTGATTGGCTGTTTACCTGTGTGCAGGTGTTTGCTGATTGGTTGTTTACCTGTCGGAGATCTCTTGCGGGATTCGCTCTGACCAGGTGAGGTTTTGGTGTGGCTGTTCGGTGCCAGGATCTCTTGGCTCAGACGGGCGCTGTTCCGACTCCCAGAGCGGGGCGGAGCTTTACCACCAGACGCTGTGTTGGTCTTTGATGTAGGGGGCGTGGCCTTTTTCCCTGAGGACCTGCAATTAGACGGAGTCAGTAAACTGGGATCAGGAGGAGTTTAAACTGGGACATTAAACTGTGATCAGGATTGCAGCAGATACTCACTTGGAGGCTGATGAGTTTTTCCCAGATGAGGCGTTACTGTTCTTGGGCGTGGCCTGTTGACTTTTGGGCGTGGCCTGCTGGCTCTTGCCTTTAGGGGGCGGAGCCTGGCTCTTCTTGGCGCTGCTGAGATACAGAGAAGTTATGTTTCAGACTGATCACAACGCTGACGGACCGAGCCGAAGTATTACCACACTCACCTCACAACAACTTCTTCCTCCTCCTCCTCTGACTCCACTTCCTCTTCAGACTCCTCCTCTTCCTCCTCAGACTCCTCCTCCTCCTCTTCCTGGTCATCGTCCTCCTCCTCTTCCTCCTCCTCCTCCTCCTCGTCGATGGAGGAGCGCTGACGGGACGGGACGCGGCTGGATCTCTGTTTGGGTCGACAGTCTGGACAGAACCAGTCTCCCTCTGGAACCGACTGAGACACCGAGAAAAGGTGTGTGTTTAGCGTTAGCATGCTGCTAATACAGACACTTCCTAAAGCTGCTTCACAATAAAAGACTGCCACTAGTGATGCGCTTTGTTTCAGGAGCTGCTGGTTATTAGTTCGGTTAGTTTTACAATTAGAACTAGAAACCAGTTTATGTAAGAAAGTGAAGAGTAAACCAAGTGAGATCAGCAGTATGCAATTAAAACAACCAGCTAATTAAGAACTAAAGTGGGGCCTCAGGCAGTAGGTGTAGCCTGTTTACCTTAAGGCGGGGCCTCAGACAGTGGGTGTGGCCTGTTTACCTTAAGGCGGGGCCTCAGACAATGGGTGTGGTGTCCTCGGTCACAGTTGTCACACAGCAGCATATTGTCGGCGTCTCCTTTGCGTCTGCAGATGCGGCAGCGAGCGTTGAGGATGGAGCGAGACCAGAGGACGCTTCGCTCCAGACTGGACAGGTGGACAAACACCTGCAGACATCCAAAAGGTGCACACAGGTAAGAGAGTTAACATGACACAGACATCCAGAACTGTAACGACACCGACTACAGCTGCATGTTTCTGAAATTGTATTTACTGTAGTTTTTATTTCACAGGTAGCATGAGTGAAATTTCATTAATACTGATCAGAACAATCCACATCTAAACTTTCTTAATAATTCTTTCAGGACCAGAACTTTGGAACGGGTTCTCGACGCCTAATCCACCAACGAGCAACACCTCCAACAGCCAATGAGAGCAGATCCTTCAGAATTTGGATTATAAACAAGAAGATAGTGTTTTTCTGACCTGAGAGAGGCTGGAACACGACTGCAGAGAATCCCTCCATCGCTCCAACACCGTCTTCACCACCCGACCGCTGTCGCTGCCATCTGACAGACACACAAACAAGCAGAGTCTGAAGTCATCTTCATCAGCTGAATAGAAATTTAACTGACTCTTCTGATACTGAGATTAACTCAAAATATGGTTCCACTGATGGAGGAATCATGAAAGAAGTCTGTTGAACACAACAGTGATCTTTAGTTAAACTCTGCTGTCTGGAGGATTTATCACAAGTCCTACCATCACTGGCCTGGTCCTCGTCTTTCTTCTTGTTCTTCTTCACCTTCTGGTCCTTCTTTGAGTCATCGTCACCTGCAGGTTATCAGACAGGTGTCACTATTTACAGTAATTACAATAAAAACTGTTTAGTACACCTGTATCTTTGATGCCTGTAGTTTTAGATGCTCAGTCAAACTTTGCCAACATCTTGCTAAAACTTTTCTTTAACCTTTGATGTGTCACTTGTTCAGATCCTGAACACGGTCCTGGATTCTTCCAGACCCTTACAGGCTGTTCCAGACCTTTCCAGGCCTGCACAGACTCACCCAGCGGAGCTTTGAGGAAGCGTCTCTCGATGCCTTGCTCGATGTGAGTGAGGGCCTGAGCCAGGATTCGTACGGAGCTGCTGATGGCCTGAGGAGTGCCGCTGCCGCTGGTCCCGCCGGTTGCCGAGTTGGACTTCAGCTCCTGCAGCCTGGAACACAAAACACACATTCAAACAACGCACACGTAAACAAACACGACAACACACAGGAGCAGTGAGGTCTGAGCTCAGAAAGGCTGAAAACCCTCATATGAACTGTGATGCATTCACTGTCATCACGTCAGTGCTGTGATTGGACAAACTGCACCATGTGACCGAGTCTCACGTCTACCTGTCTGCGTACCTGTCTCTGGCTCTCAGGTGGGCGGAGTCCACCTCCATGGCCTCCTCTCGTCCGTTCATCCCTGCACCGTCAGAACTCAGCAGCTCGTAGTTTCCTGCTTCCAGCGCTGAGCGCCACACCTGTCGGTCCATCACCTGAACACCAACAGAGTCACACAGGTGAGTCTGAGGATACCTGCTGGTTCTGTCGTCTGCAGCCATCAGCAGGTGTACACACCTTCAGAGTTCCCAGAGTTCCCTGGTGGATGCGGTCCTCAATGTCCAGCAACAGGTCCCTCAGCCTCCGCTCCATCACAGACTCGGCTGCAGCAGTGCATTCTGGGACAGATTGGGACGACTCCGGGTCATCTGGACCAACAGGACAGGTGTGTTTACAGGTGTGTCAAAGGTCATCATATCACAGGTACTTTACCTGTGTGGTATCAGTAATTGTTGGAGTACAGCAGATTACCTGTGTGTGTCACCTGCATATTTAACCATAAATTACTGTGTATTTATCTGTTTATTTTCATATGTGTTGACCTGATTATTAGATAAAAAAATCACCGGTACATTACCTGAGCATTCACCTGTACTGACTTCTGGTAATCTGTGTTTTTACCTCTGCCTGTTAATTTACCTGTCAATCTGTGTGATTTTCTGTTTTTTACTTCTGTTTACTTGTGTTTATACTTCTATAACCTGCATGTTTAGGTTTATTTACCTACAGGTTTACCTGTGTATTCACCTGTGTTTTTACCTGTTTATTTATCTCTGTTAAATGTGTATTTACCTGCATATTTACCTGTATATTCTACTGTCTATGTACATTTACTCGAATTTGCCTTTTTATTTACATCTTTTTTTTTTTTTTTAACCTGTGTGCTTACCTGTGTATTCACCTGTTTTTTTTACCTGTGTGTTTACCTTTTTCTGGGTGTTTACCTGTGTTCTTACCTGTGTGCCTGTACTTGCTGGTGTCGCAGGTCTGCAGCAGCTGTTGCAGTCTGTCTCTCTCCTGCAGCAGCGCCTCCTTCAGGCCACTTTCTCTGTGACCTCGCGGGTTCAGAGCTTCGATCAGCTGATCCACTTCCTCCACTGAGCTGTAGAACGACCACTGGTTGGGACGGTCGACAGGTGGGCCGCAGGTGTGGAGGGGGGCGGGGCTTGAGCCGACACTGTCAGGGTTAGAAATGATTAGAAAGCTCTTTCACCTCTTTACCTGCTTCAGCCTCGTTATAAACCGTCACCTCTGAGACCCACCTTCCTTCAGTGGCCTCCTCCTTCAACTCCACCACCTCCATCTTGGTCGCGGCGTCCTGAGCAGGTTTGGGCCGCGGCTGCAGCATGTCCTCTGTCAGGCCGAAGCCGTCGTCCTCCACAAACAGCACAGAGGCCGATGGGAGGAGCCAATAGCGGCGGTACAGCCGGTCTCTGCCCAGAGGCAGCAGGCAGGTGCAGGCTGCCGCCTTCTGGATCCTCTCTTGAAGCTCCCGAACCTGCGGAGACCAACCAGAACATCAGAACCACAATTCTGTTTAGCTCTAACAGTAAAGCAGGTCCAGCCAACCAGGACTCCTTCAGATTCCTACAGACACAATATTTATTAAGCTGTAAAAATAGCATTCAGTTTCTTCACAATAAGAGTTTTTTATTTGTCTCAGAACTCTCTGGGCCTAAAGAACAAATTCTCTTTTTCTACTTTAGATAATATTGTTTTGGATTTTATTTTGTCCGGATATTTAAGGAAGAAGCTGGATTGATCCTAAAAGGCTGCTGATGTAGAACTTTCATCCTTATCGAAGCAGACTGATGAGAGCATATCGACCTGCCTACACAGACCTACAGCTACAGAATCAGCAGTGAGTCTGGTTCTGACCTTCTCCTGTTCGTTCTCCAGCTCCTCTGCAGTCAGGCTGGTCGGAGGGCAGGACGAGGGTTTGGAGTCACAAGTTGTCTCTTGCTGCCGTTTTTCTTTCTGGTTCACTTTAGCTGGAAGAGAAACAACAAACAGATTTTATATCAGACCACATGTGCAGCATGAAGTCAGCTTTTACTGGCGAAACAACAGTGTGCAGGTTTGTTGTTTAAAAAGCAGAAAGGAAACCTGCAGGACTCACATTTTTAAATAAATTATTACCTTTAATCGTCTTCTTGCCGCTGGATGAAGAGTTCTGACCCTCGTCATCCTCAGCCTGATGTTCTGCAGGAGTTTCACTGCAGATAGAGGATTGTAAATACCACATTAAATCTACTTTAGCACCTGTTTTACTGTCAAACAGACCAAAGACCTCGATGAAAAGAAAGATTTACATCAACAGCATGTAACTAAAATCCTCATCAATTAATCATAAAACACAACACGGACGTGGACGAGCAGCAGAAAAGAACATCATGTGAAGCCAACGATGTGGTGAATCACACATGTTGAATTTAGCTTCACATGAGACACTCGGTTCCTACCCGTTCGTCTGGCCTCCTCCCTTCTCCTCCTTCAGCTTCTCCTCCTGCTCCTTCAGCTTCTCCTCCTTCTCCCTCATCCTCTGCTCCTGCTCCCTCAGCTTCTCCTCTTTACGCAGACGAACCCTGAAAGTCAACAATTAAAACAGTAATTAATAACTGTGTGTGTTGTTTATCATAGTGTGAATACCATGTGTGTACTTATGTGTAACTCTCTGTGTGTATACCTGCATATCTGTACATGTACACCTGTATAATGTGTGTGTACACCTGCATACCTGTGTGCAGCCTCCTCTCTCTCCCTGCGGTGCTGTTCAGCTCTGATCTCTCTCAGCTCCTGTTTGGCGCCTCTTTGTTCCTCCACACTGTCTTCAATCAGATCTCTGCTGGACGCCAACGTCAGCAGCTTCCCCACCAGAGCCTGCAGGATCCTCAGCTTCTCCCCTATAAATACACAATCAATACTGATCAATACCATCAGTACACAGCAGAGCTTGCAGGATCTTCAGCTTCCATCCATAAACACACACTGAGGCGTCCCTGTTGCAGTCAGGAGCCGTGAAACTGGAACTTGTGAACAGTGTGAGTTTCATAACTGAACTCTGAACTAGACCATTTGAATCTTTTAGAACTGGACTTTTAGCTCTCGTGGTTTGAGAACTGCTGATAAAAATGAAAACGTACGGTCACTGAAAACAGGATCGGCCCAATAAAGGTGTATTCAGGACTAAACAGGTGTTCTGAGTCCTATTTGGAACGTTAGCGCTGCTCAGCTAGCGAGTGTTTTTGTTTACAGTAGATCAGCGCTGCAGGTGTTCAGCTGATCCAGGTGAAGCTGCAGCAGAGTGATGCTAACACTAACGCTAACATCAGAATCTGATCACGGTCTCTGATTGGTCGGCTGCTCACCTGGTGTGAGGTCATACACCGACGTGCACGACAGCCTCTTCAGCAGCACTGGCTCGGCCAACCGCAGCTCCACGCACGGGTCGTCCATCAGCGTGAACCCCCCCTGCTTCTGGTAGCGCAGCTTGGCATTGCCATGGTTACAGTCGGCGCCGGACGCCAGGATGTGCAGGCGAAGGATCTCCGACAGCGTGCAGCTGTCCAGGTCCAGCTGCTTCAGGCTGCAGCCCTGGTGCAGCTGAGGCCACGCCGCCGCCAGCGAGGCCACGGCGCTCAGAGCCGAACGGGTCGGGTCAGAATCATCGTCCAGAGCCTCCGACAGGTCTGCACACACACGAATTACATACACAACATGTTATACACACATTACACACGCAACATGTTCATGTACAGTTTGAACACAGCGCCCCCGTGTGGTCAGCTTCCAGATAACAGAACGTTGTGTGAGACCTCCTGGTTCTGAGTTTTGTTCTTACTTTAGGAAACATAGACTGATGACAGAACCAACAGCAGGTTCTGGTTGTGTTATGTTGGTGTGTGTCTGTGTGGTACCTTCAGCCTGTTCTTTAGCCAACTCCTCCTGCTCCTCGTCCAGAGCCTGAAAGATGGCTGACAGGAAGAAGAACAGCAGCTCACACAGAGGACCTTCAGGATCAGAACCCACCAGAGCCTCCTCCAGAACCTCTGTGGAGAAAGAACATCTATTAGAACCAACACAACATCTGTCAGAACCTCCAGAACTTGATGAAAAGGAAACATCTGTCAGAACCTGTAAAACCTATGCAGGGAGAGAACCTCTTTCAGAACCAGCACAGAGGAGATAATCACCTCTCAGAACCTCAAAATAAAACAAATATTAAGACACACTGAAGTCTGAGAACCTTTGAAAACCATCAGTCAGATCCAACACCATATCTATCAGAACCATCTCTTGTTAGAACCAAGCGAACCTCCAGAACACCTTCTAAGTCCTGTTTTAAACAATAAAACCTCTCCGACGTCTACAGCCATCAGCATTAGAACCAACTAAATGTTCTGGAATTACTATATAATATAAGCAAAAGAACCCAAAGAAGATCTATTTAAGCTAAAAGAACCTCTCTCTCTTAGAACCTTTGTGAGAACACAGGGAGTCTGTAGAACCCACTTAGAGTTAGAATCTCTCAGATCACCTCTATGGATTTGTTGAACTTAAAAGACAACAACAGGCTCTGGGATCTCAACTAGAACCTCCAGAACCTGTACTATATCCATCAGTGCAACAGAACCGCAGCATCAGGGAGCAGAAACACATACAGAACCACAGTGTCCAGGAGATTTGTATAAACGTTCTCACCCAGAGAGATGCCCTCGGGGAACTCGTCCTTCAGGTCGAAGGCCTCGCCAAAGGCCCGCAGGAACTCCAGAACCATTAGCGCGTCTCCGAAGAGCTCGGCTGGGAGACGGGTTCTCACTGGAACCGGACTGGGCAGCTCCTGGTGGAACCGACACACACACCACATTGTCATTTTTAAAATGATGCACATCAACAACAAACTTTGTCTATTTATTATTTGATTTTATTGGATCAGAGGTTCTGCTTTCTAAAAAGTGAAAATATGAGAGATAACAGTCCGACCCAAAACTGATCAGGACTCAAAGTGGGTGTTGCTGATGGTTCTACTGTCGTCTACGGGTGGATCCTGTTTGATGCTGCAGGTATTTAATAAACTCCTGAACAGCTGGAAGTAGTCGTCTCACAGCTAGTTCTGTTCTTGTCTGCTAACGTTACCGGGCTGAAGGTGAAATGTCACGTGGTCCAACTTTTACAGAAGAACGAGGATTCAGACATGAAGCTGTTCAGATACAGTCACATGAACAGAAACTAGATTGAATCTAAAAGAGGCTTTACTTCTGTTCAGTATCAGACGTGCTGCTTTAATTGCTTCTTTTCAGTCTCTTTACAGTAAACTGTTCCCCGACTCGTAACGTTTATCGCTTGTTTTTACTATTATTCGTGAATCCTGTCGTGTTTTTTTTCTTTTTTTTAAAATGTGAAACACTTTGTATAAACATTAATATCATCGGACTGATTTCGAGGATATTTCTCCTAATGAACATGTGCTGTGTGGTGGTGCGTTCACTGACCTTCAGGTCTTCACACTCCATGTCCTCTCTGGGTTTGTTCCACAGCTTCAGCCGTTCGGCGTATTTCTTCTTCTCCTCCTTCAGCTTCTCTCGTTCCTGTAAATCAGATTCACAGGCTTCTTTCTGACTGACCTCTTTAATTCTTACTATTTCACCACTTTTATTCAGATTTGTCTCGTCGTTGTGTTTATTCTGTTGTGTCTCTTTGGTTCGTCCCCTGTTGCCTTGAACGTGACTGATTTCATCTTCTAGCAGGATTCAGGTTCTCGTCGACTCACCCTCTCCTTCTCCAGCTTCCGGCGCTCCTTCTCCTCCCTCCTCCTCTGCTTCTCCTCCTCGAACCTCCTCCTCTGCTCCTCCTTCAGCTTCTCCCGGTCCTCCCTCTCCCTTCTCTTGGCCTCCTGAGCCTCCTCCTTCTCCCTCTTGAGCCGAGCTCGGTCCTGAGCCGCCATCGCCATCTCCTCCCTCTGGTGCAGCAGCTTCAGCTTCTCCTCGGCCGCCTTCAGCAGTGACGAGCTCGCCTGGAAACATTCAAAGTGGTCAGAAAACGGCGGCAGGAGCTTTTCTCCTCAGCCTGAGGAGAAGAGTTTCGGCTCCACAGGTGGCTGTTGGTGTATTTAAGTTCCAAGACTCTCAGACAGCAGCAGCATCTGGAAAGACGAGTTCTGCAGCACACGGTAACATAAATTACGTTTAAACGTGAAGCCTCCAGAGTGAGAGAGAAGGCCGCAGTGGTGCAGAAGGTTCATGAACCTGCACACAGGATCATGTCTGCACACTAAAGATAAACTTAGACGAGCTGGTCCATCTCAAATCGATGTTTTTAGAACAATTTCTGTTCAACCGTCTCTTTATTTTAACATCATGAAATCTGGTTATTCATTAAATCATTTGTGAAGTTTTAGCTTCATATATCAGATACTTTGAGAGATTTTTGCTTTTAATCGCCCGTCGATCAACGTTCAGCAGGTTTAAATCTCACAGTGAAATTTTTCAGCTGTTTGAACAAAACATCTGAGGAACTATTGAAGATAAAACATGTCAGTGATTCATAATGTTGGACAAACAGATCAAAAACTCTCTGATTACGAGTCAGTTGAAATGTATAAAAAAAAAAGTGGAGGCATTATGAAAAATCCTATTTTTGAGCCTTTTAACAAATAAACTAAAAAAGCAGAAGTGAACTAGTGATGTTCTCTGGACCACAAGTAGCTGCAGGTACAAAACTAAACATGTAGGAGACGTTTATTATGAAATACTTGGTCACAAAAAATGAAAAGGAAGTTATTTTTGCTTAATTTTCGTAACTGATTGAGCAGGTTTGATACTTTGAACCACAAAACTAAAATATTGGCAGATGCCGTAATGTCTGGACTATAAGCTGCTACTTTCTTCACACGCTTTGAACGCTGCGGCTAATTTATGGATTTTTATGAATTCACCTCGAGACCAAAGTGACGCTGTGAGCGACAACGACAGAGAGACTGAGGAAGTGACGAAGTGATTCTGAGGCTGTTCAGCTCCTGAAGACACTGAAGAAGACGACTTTAGTGGTTTTAGTGCAGGAGGAAGATGAAGATAACGATCAGTGACTTTTCCTGGTAGACTGCTGTAGTTTTATTTCCTTAACCAGCCGTGTTACAGGAACTGTTCAGAAAAAAGCATCTATGGTACGTATCTGTGTACGTTACCGCTACGTATTTAATTAAAAGTTAAAACATCTTTCTGTGTAAATATCTCATGTTCCAACGTGGACACCTACAGCTTAGAGACCAGTGCAGCCTGTATGTGTACACACCTGGTTTTCTGTTAAAAGTTAGTGGGTGTGGCTTTTATTCAGGTGCCTCCATAGTCCAGACATTACGGTAGTCTGATTAGAGTTCTGGAGTTTTAATATGGTTTCATAATTAAAATCATCCAAAATCAGGAAATATTGAATTTATTTCTCTAATATCGCAGGTTCTGAATCAATAAAAATCAATCAAATGAAAATTCAATCAATCTTTAATAATTATTGAGTTATGTTGTTAAAAACAACCTCAAATTTCAAATGCTCAAAAAAAAAAAAGAAAGTTTTATTCTATCTTGGAAATTACCTGATAAATCATCTAAAAGTTCACAAATTATCATGAAATAAATATTCACATTTCATGGTATGAAAATGTCAGACAAATCAGAGATGGTGGAGCAGAAATTGTTCTTAAAGCCCAGATTATAAACTCATGTCCTCTGTCGGACACACAGTGAAGGACCTACCTGTCCAGGTGAGCCCCGTCCTCCACCTTTAGAGGGCGGACTGAAGGGGAACAGCGGCGGCTCATCAGGGAAGAACTGAGAGAAGGTCTGTTCGGACAGCCGGTACTTCATCACTGTGGACGGCTGGAGGAGGCAAAGGAGACGACATGAAGGTGAGCTGGTGTGACTCACCTGTACGGCAGGTACGACACAGGACAGGATGCTGTTCTCACCTTAACCACGATGGTCCCGCCATGAGGCTCACAGTGCTGCTTGAAGAGCAGCTTCAGTCTCTCTCTGGACAGAATCGTCTTCCTACGACTGAGAAACACAAAGTTCATCATTGAAACAACAACTTAAGGACTGAATGTAAACATCAGCTCAGGCTGTTCAGGTCTGTCAGGCACCGGAGACGTAAACGTTCCACCTGCTTTGTGGAAACACCTGAACACTGAATGTGTTTACTGGTCCCAGCTGAATCAGTCACAGAGAATCAGGGCAGACGTTCTAGGGTTCAGTTTTTACACAATCTGGTGCAACAGCGTGTTTTTGAGAATTTGAAATGAGACACGTAGAATAAAGCGACTTTGATCATTTGTCACAGTTTAAGGTTAGATGTGGTAAATTCTCCTGAGTAGTTCAAGGACTGTGGGAAAGTTGAAAACTTCCCAAAGAGTCTTTTCATTTTTAAAGTTTACAGAAAATGTTGTTTCATTTTGGAGATTTTTCTGAACACACCTGCCAGAGGGTTTTGGGTTCAGAGGGTTTAATGATGAACAGTTTCAGCTCCAGTCAGGCGGGAGGTACGTCTGGTGTTTCTGAATCAGCAGGAATGTTTGCATGAGGTCAGACAGGTGAAGCTGCTCACCTGATCTGGTTGGCTTTGACAGTGAACGGTTCGCTGTGCTGGTCCTTCATCATCCTCACTGTGTATTTAAACACTGACGGGCTCAGAGGCTTCTTCTTCTTCCTGCTGAAACATGACGACACACAGAGCTGAGTTTATATCACCTCAGATGACATCACGTTGAACAACACTCTTGTTCTAAACCAAGTTCTTGTTCTTCAGTTTAATAATTTACATCCTGTTCTTTTATCCCACTGTGTGACTTTCCCTTCACCTCAAACAGAAATCTATCGATGTGATCTCTACGATCAGGGTGGATCAATACGTTTTTTTAATTGACTGGTATCCCCACTAACCTGAGCCCAATCCTTTGTTTACATCTGTTGTCACACAAGTGTAGTAACGGCAGAACACAATAAGTGACGGAACACAAACTTGGAATAACTTTGACCAGCAGTGTTATCAATCCATAACTGACAACACTAATTCAGCACAGCTGTCATTTGCCCTGATGTTGTGGTTCGGGTGATTTGGGCCACAAAGGCGGCTCTGTTACAGATACAAACTCTGTCTTAGTTGGTCCCAGTTTGTCTTAAATACTTGAGTTCTGGTTGGAGGTCATGAACCTCCTCAGAGTCTCTGTCATGGTCCCGTTGCTGCTAAACTCCCACAATAATCTCTGCTGCCACCATGAGCTGTAGTCTGAGTGACGCCTCCTCTGGTCTCTACGGGATTAAACAGGAAGAGGCTCCACCTGGTGGAACAACCAGGTACTACAGCTGGTCTATGGTACATCATGTAGAGAATACAGATTTTCTCCATCTGTTGGAGCCTCAGAACATCCTAAACTCTAACCCTAAATCCACCCTCTAACTCTAATGTAGACAGGGTTCTACTGGAGCTTTAGAACAAGGTTCCACCTACAGAACATTACAGAACATGGTGATGCAGTTTTTTCTCTATGCGTTGCAGAGCTCCTCCGTCATCAAGTGTTTACACTGAATTGAGTTTAAGAACTTTAATGTACTTGAAGTGTGTATTATCAGGAACATGCATTCCGATGGAACTTGGTATCTGCAGATACTGGATATTGATGACTGAGATCAGACTCGGGGGCAGAAACACCTGATGAGGACCCTCTAACCTACTGACCCGTTGATTTGTGGCGTTGGACTCTGGAAGGCGTTGGCCTCGTCATCGCTGTCACTGATGACGATGGTGTCACCGTCGGTTGGCTTGGCGTGGCCGTTAGCGGCCGGTGCTCCGTTAGCGCTGGACTGAGGCGAGTGCACTTGCAGGATCTCACAAACATACCTGACAGAGAGAGAGAGAGAGAGAGAGATATGACATCACTCCACCTGCTGCTCGCTGATGTGAATAAACCAACAACTGTTACAGGTCATCAGCTGCTGTGGATGCAGCAGTGTACAAAGAGAACTGGTTTCTATGGTAACCACAGACAAAGATGGCGGCCGGCGCAGCACCTGGCTCCATTGCGCCCGCTGACGTCCACCGTCTCTCCAGGGAAGTAGCGGTCCTTGACGAAGGCGTAGACGTCCTCGCAGAGCTCGGTGAGGCGGCAGCGGCGGCTCAGAGCAGCAAGGTGGAGCAGCGGCGCCACCAGGCTCTGAGGGAAGCTCTGCAGGCTCTGCTTCGCCCGCCGCTCGCTGTCCACCGCCTCCAGGTAGGTGAGGCCCGCTCGACCCGTCAGAGCACAGCTCCACACCAAACTGTTGCACAGGATGGTCCTCTCAAAGAACTCACTGAGGAGGAGGAGGAAGGTTAGTGTTTGTTTTCAGTCTGACAGACAGAATCAAGGCTGGAGGACATTTTTACAAACTGATATGTGACATTTAGTTTTGCTGCAGTATGAAGAAAAACCGGCACTATTCCCCAGATGACCTGAATATTTCTTTTCTTTTTTTTTTAAAGATTATTTTCTGGCGTTTTTGCCTTTATTAGTCAGGATAGTGAGAGAGTGAGAGAGGAAAGGGGTGAGAAGAATGGGGAGAGACCCTGCAGCAAACTGTCGTGAGCGGGAGTCAAACTCACGAACGCAGCATTGGGGAACTACAGCCCCTGTTCATGGGTCGCCCACTCAACCAGGTGAGCTATTGTGGCGCCCTGACCTGAATATTTCTACTTGGAAAGAATAAATCACTTTAGAATGATTTGTACGGGAGGTACAGATAAATAACAATACAGGTGTTTTAATAAAGCTGCTTGTTTGGATCCTTTCTTATCTGGTGTGACTCGGACAAATCGTGCTGCAGAGCTTTAAATGGTTTCACTAATCGTTTCCTCGTGCTGCTGAGAGAGAAGCTGTTATTGGTCGACATCGACTTTTCTTTTTATACAACCAACAGAACTTTGATTTTTGCAGCCAGATCTTCCTCGTCAGTATTCCTCTCCTGAGCTGAGCACATGAGGACCCTGCAGGTCAACAAACTGTGATTTTATGATGTTATAAATGAGAACTGTGAGAGTTTGATTGTTTGTGTTGGTGCCCGACCGAGTTCATTTGGTTTCCTTCACATCTCAGTGTCACAGCTCAAACTAATCATCTTGCAGCTCTACTGATGGTTGTTGACACCAAGAGAATAATTTGCCCAATTCTGCAAAGTGTAAATATTTCTATACACTTTTATTACATACATTCTCTACATTTGCTACACTTGCCTTCTTTACAAAATGTTAAAATCCTTTTTTTGCCATTTCTCCACTTGTCAGCATTTACTGTAAAGCCCCAAAACACCACAACAAATTACTGGGAAGTGAAAACCTACTTGGCAATAAACTGATTCTAAGCACCAGATAGAAACTACCAGGACCATCTGAAATGATATACAAGCTGCATTCTTTTTTTTTTTTTTTAAATCTGCCAAGTTTTGAAGAACATAAATAACTCTGAACAACAAAAATGTAGAATAAACAAGAAATAGTTAAAAATAATCATTAACATCTCTAAGGCAACATCTGACTGTCTGGTGTCACTTGTTTAGGTCATTTCCAGCTAAAAGAAACCTGTTGGTCAGATTTATATTCACTATGGAGGTGAATTAACCCCCTCTGAACTCCATCACCTCACAGAAGTCAGGCTAAGTTGAACAATAAGTGAAAACAGTTTTAAAGCCTCACAGCAGGAACTCAATGCAACAAAAGTCCGTCCACCGTTAGTTACTGACTGATGCTCTTTACAAGAGGTTTCTCTTAAAACACCCCAAAGATGTTCTGTTGGACTCTAGCCCGGACACAGACCGTCCAGGTCGTGGTTTTACTTTCTCGTTTACTGTCACACATTTACGATGCATCTATAAACGTCATCAACACCTTCTGCCCTCATGCAGCCCCATATCATGATGCTGCCAACCTCCGTGCTTCACTGTCAGGACCATGCATCCACTGTGGTGGTCCTGGTCAGGTTCACACCAAACATCTGGACTCCATCTGAGCCCAACACATTGATCTTCATCTGACCAGAGAATGTTCTCCAGCATCCATCAGGCTTCTGTTCGGGTTCTTTAGCAAACTTTCATCTAGATGTTCTGAGCTAAAGAGCAAGCGAGGAGCTTTAGTTGTTCTTATAAACTGTCTTTCACACTGTGTGAGCTTCACACTAACTCTGGTCTCCACTGATAAGCCCTGTGCCAAGTCTGAAGCAGCTGCCTTTGTCTGGTGTTCACAGCTCCATAGTGACAGTAGTTGACTGTCCGTGGAGTCATTGTAGGAGGACGACCACTGCAGCCCTGATCAGTGCTGCTATGGCTCCTTCTGGACCTCCTGGTTACTGCTCACACTGGGCCGCACTGGGTTTTAGTTCCTGGATCCTTTTCCATCTTCTTCCAGTCTCTCAGTCAGATGTTTCTCCTCCTCTGATCAGGTCTTCTCCATGTGGAGCCATGATGCAGACATTGATAGACACAGTCCATAGGTCCAGAACTGAGAAGGTTCTGCTGTTCTCAGCTCGTTGTAGAACCACGTTCATGCTGTTGGACTGACTGGAAACCACAGCTGGACTCAGTTTAGTTTCACGGATCACAGCTAGATTCACTTTTGTTTTATTGAGTTCCTACTTTGGGCCTGAGTTTGACATGTCGCCTTCATAAAGTGTTTGATTGTTTATAACCGGATACACGCCGCTGCTCACCTCAGAAACAACAGTTATTAAGAGATGATAGGATTCTACAACATGTAGGATTCATGTGATGTTCCAGAGATTCTCACTTCTGCTCTACCTGGTGGGTCTCAGCTTGTGATGAATAATGTTGAGGTTTAACTGTAGAACCACCAACCGACTGCTCAGGGTCCAACCTGAACCAAGATGAGGAGTTCTAACAGCACAAACAGCAAAACAACGTTTTCACACAGTCTGTAGTTTGGTTCTGAGGTTCTGAGGCTCTGGCTCCGACTTCAGGACCAATGTTTGACTCCATTTGAAGGCAGAAGCCAAACAGAAGCTGCCTGAGTGAGAAAATTCAGGTTTTACTGAGTTTCTGGAGCCAGAACTCCGCCCCCGGTGCCCGGAGCCGTTAAACCCGGTGGAAGTGCCCTTTAACTGTCCCGGTTTAACGGTCCGGACCGGCTCGGCTCCTCCAGCGGGCCCGACGAGCTAACGGCTAAACTAGCCGAGCTAACCGCCGCTGACAGCTTGCGTTAGCTACCCGGGCTAACAGCCGCTAACCCGCTTTAGCTCGGTTAGCTGGCTAACTTAGCCTCCGTTACACCTGCCCTGACCCGGGTGGTCCGGTCCCGACACCTGCTACCTGCTCTAACCCGCCTCCCAGCCGCTTTTACCCGACTTTCAGCTCGGTTCGGACCGAAACAAGTTCCTATTTTCACTCCGGGTCAACTTGGCTTTTGTTTATCTTGTCTGGAAGTTTGCCAGCCGACCAACTGTCACTCAGGTCCGGCACAGCAGCCCACAGGTGAGCTTGGTGAGCCGGCGGATACTCACTCGTAGGTCCGGAAGATTTCGTGGGTGATCTTGCAGAGGAACACCTCCTCGTCCGGCCGCAGGTCCGCCGGCGGCTTCTGCCGGATGAAGGCTTTTCTGTGGAGAAGCGGCATCTCGGAGCTCCGCTTCACCGGCCGCACTTTGAAAAAAGAGGAGGGAAACCGAGTCACAAACACCGAATATCACAGCACAACTCCGGCCAAACACCTGAAAGTGAGCCACGAAGTGAACCCGGAGCTCCGGGCTGAGCCCAGCGGGGGTCTGAGGTTCGGTTGGCGGCGGCAGCGGGCGGCAGAGCGGGTCTTTTGTTAGACGCGCTGTTAATCTGCCCACATGGAAATGTGCTCTCGGTGTCTGAGCCGACAGACTCACCTCTGACTCGGTTAAACTCTCCGCTCTCAGCCCGGAGCCGCCGACACCCAGCAGGCGACAGCACCGACCGGTTTCTGACCGTCTGTACCGAGTTGTGTAACGATGGAGCGATAATCCGCGGACCGAACTGAGGAACTCGTCCCAGGCTGAGCGGCTCTCAGGCGGCTTGTTGACCAAGTTTTACTCCGCTTCACGGACCCGCTCGGAGCTCGGAAATTTCAGCTCCGCAATCCCTGAATGCACCGTTACTGATAAAACGTGTGTAAAACTCCAGAGTTCACACAGAGAAATAAGATTAATGGCACAAATACACTTCACAAGTTTAGATGTCAAAATCCTTGAATAACAATTTACAATATTGACATCCTACAGGATTATAAATAAGACATATTTGCCTGACAAGTTTAAATATCATTCAGTGTCATTCTACATTATATATATATTTATGTGTGTTTGTGTGTGTGTAAACCTAAATACGTTTAAAATGAAGGTCAAGAGCCTACACTGTTTATTTATTATGTGTTTACTGTTTTATTTTATTGATTTAATGCATTGTGGGTTACAATCACTGTATGAACGGTGGTTTATCAACAAAATTGATCCTGTTGTTGTTGTTGTTGTTATCTGATTAATTTAAATGCTACTGTTAACGGCCCTACATCATATCTATAACATGTTTTATTATATTTATGGAGTAAAGCATGTTTCTGTGAACTGTGCTGTTTTTGTGACGTTATTGTTATTTTTAGAGGTCGTGTTGTGGAAATTTACTGGCCTAATTTAAATATTAAGGTTAAAAATCTTTTAAATAATTCCTTATATAAATTTGCTAAACGGATGCAAAACATATTGTAAAAACGTTCTAATTTCATTCGTTTATATTTTTTATTAAATTGAATTTATTTAATTAAAGTGAAGCACTTTGGTTTACAGTTGCTGCATGAACTGTGCTGTTTGAGTAAAGGTACAGTTATCAGGAGTATTAGTACTAATGTAAAGTTATATCATATAAACTGACCTGGCTAACTTAAATATTAAGATTAAAACACCACGAAAATTATTTATGTTTTACATTATTCGAACCAAAACACAAACAGTCACAGGAGATTAAAAGTAAACACGACAGAATTAAAACATGAATAAAACTGAATGGAAACGTGTGCTGCTTTCCATCCCAGCTGCTCTATGTTCCCTGAACGCACCACACGAGTGACTGAGTGGGCGGAGCCTCTCCGTCCTCCGCAGCGCTGGTTGGCTCGCCGTCCTGCCGCTCCTCCGCAGTCAGCCAATGGTCGTCCTGGAAGCGGTCCCGCTGAACTGAGATGACGTCAGAGGAGCGAACGGCTCGGAGGCTCGAGCTCACGAGCGGAGGCGGTGATGACGCAGAGTGCGTGACAGCGGAAGGCGATGCGTCATCAGACAGGAAGTGAGTCAAGCAGCAGGTAGAAAGAAAGAAGAACAAAAAAACCCACAAGGAGTAAAACGAAAATGAAATCAGTCATAGAAAATAGGCAACAGAAAACTCTCAAAAAAAAAACCAACGAAGAAATCAAAAGAATCAGAAAATAAAAGAGAAGAAAATGTGAAAATAATAATTCAGCTACTGACTCAATGAATTCTTCAAAGAAACAAAACATAATGAAGGATAAATTATAAATGTATGAATAAAAATGTGATCATTAAACATAAAAACATCAGGCAGCAGCTGGCATCATAAATGTTACTACAAATAAAAAGATTACATAACATTTAAAAAAAAAAGTTAGAGCTGAATATCTATATAAAATATACAAATAATTATAAAAACTTGTATTCAACCTTTTGTAAATGAAGCGATTCTGTTATGTTATATAACTTTATTTAAATAATTGTTTTTTTGTTTTTACTCTATAATCAGCAGATAAACAAAAACCTAAAAAAATAATGCCGCATAAACATTTGCTTTATTCCTCTGTTAACATTTCTCTAAATAAAGCCGCGTTCACGTGATGATGGAGCCTTTGTCCTGATTTAAATACATTTATTCAGTGTATATGAGGTGTTCCGCTGGAGAATGTTGACTCTGTAAACGAAAAACTCAAACAGAAAAACTCTGAGAACTGAGATGCAAAGAAACAAAACACAACAAGGACAAATGGATGTCTTTGTGTTTATTTATAAAATAATCAAAAATGTAACTCAGACCAACTCAGGAATGTGACTGGTTGAAATTAGTCACATGACCCGTACAGGTGAACGGTCTGAGATCACATGACTCGTTCAGGCGAAAACTCGGAGTTCACATGACCCCATACGGGTAAACAGTCCGAGGTCACATTACCCTGTACAGGTGAACGGTCTGAGGTCACATGACTCTGTACAGATAAACAGTCTGAGGTCATATGACTTGTTCAGGCGAAAACTCGGAGTTCAAATGACCCCATACGGGTGAACGCTCCGAGGTCACATGACCCTGTACAGGTGAGCAGTCCGAGGTCACATGACCCTGTACAGGTAAACAGTCCAAAGTCACATGACCCTGTACACGTAAGCAGTCCGAGGTCACATGACCCTGTACAGGTGTATCTGCCGGAGGCTGTCGGGGTCGGCGTCTCTGCCCAGGTAAACGCCGTAGTCCACAGGTAGCTCCTCCACCCAGCCGGGCTGCAGCACCTCCTGCTGGACACAAACAGGAAGCACTGAGGACGCTGCAGGAGGTGATTAATCCATGACATCACTGTGACATCACAGTCATTTCCAGGAAAAGGAATGAGGTCATGGAGGGGAGAGAGGAACCCCTGAATCTGAATGAGTTTACCTGCAGAGCGCTCAGGCTTTCCTGCAAACTGGGAACCGTGACGAGGAGAGAACCTGACTTCCTGAAGCTGTGAATGATGAACCTCCAGGCTCTGCACACACACAGACACACACAGAGACACACACACAGAGACACACACAGAGACACACACACAGAGACACACACAGAGAGAAAGAACCATCATCACACTGTGTGTCTGTTGGAGTGTGCAGCAGAGTGTCCATTCCTGTGAATTTATTGCACATTTCTGTGGATTTTGTCGACAATCTTGTGTGTATTTTTTGTGAATTTTGTGTAAAGTCCCGTGGATGTGGACATCTCTGTGGATTCTGTGTATATTTAGTTTATTTATTTGTGCATATTTTGTGTGTATTTCCACGGATTTTGTGTACATTTTTTGTATATTTTTGTGGATTTGCATAGACTTCCTTGGACTTTGTTCATATTTTGTGTGTTTGTGTGTCTTTTGTGTATATTTTTGTGTTTTTCTTGTGTATTTCTAAGGATTTTGAGTACATTTCTGTAGATTCTGTGGATATGTTCTCCATTCCTGTGTATTATATTGTACTGTGTGTATATCTGTGTACTTTGTGTATTACTGTGTATTCTGAGTTTATTTCCATGTATTTTTTGTGCATTTTTCTGTGTCACCACCTGATTTGTTCGCTGGGCTCCATGAAATACTCGAAGACGTTGTTCATGACGAGGACGTCGGCGTTCTGCAGCAGGACTTCCTGCGTGCAGACGTCAGCGTGAACAACCTGCAGAGGAAAAGACGTGAAACAGTTTAAACCGAAGCAGGAACAAAGTTCTCTGAGTGACTCTCTGTTCAGGATCCTCATCGATTTTAACCTGAACTCTGTCAGTCAGTCTGAACTTCTGCAGCATCTCGTTCTGCAGCGCGACAAACTCCTTGCTGATCTCCAGACCGAAGAGCCGAGAGGCCGAACTGTAGACGAACCCCTGAACATGAACACACACACGACAGAAAACAAATGTCATTTAAGATGTGTTTGGTGTGCGTTTGGTGTGTGCTTGGTGTGTGTTTGGTGTGTGGACCTCTGACCCCGTACAGAACTGCTCCCAGTCTGGATCCGACGTCCACCAACGTTCTCCCGCTCAGATCTGGAAGAACGTTCTGGAAAAGGAAGCGAAGCTCCGAGATGGAGAACGAATGAGACACGAAGTCTGCAGAAGAGACACAGAATCAGGAAGATGCTGACTGAAGCTGAAGGCTTCTGGTTCGTGTTCAGTCCGGTTCTGACCCAGAGCCGCTGTTCTCTGAGATCCACAGGCGAGGCAGTAGCTCCTGCTCATGGCTCCGCTCTCACACAGAGAGTCCACCTGGTCGTCATCGTACAGGAAGCTGTCGACGTGGAGCGTCGGCCGCGAACACTGCTGCATCTGTAACACACGACATCACCTTCATCATCATCAATACCTTCATCACCATCACCTTCACCTTCACCTTCATCATCATCATCATCATCATCTTTAAAACACCAGAAAAAAGTCTGACAAATCTACATACATGATCTTAAAACATATATATTAATATATTATATTATATGTTACTATTCAATGTATTCAAATGACCGTCAGTGAACGTAGAAACAAACCAGAAGAGAAACGTTTTATTAACGCTGTGACCTGGAGCTGAGCGTCTGAATGAAGCAGGAGGCTGAGAGCAGGAAGTAGTACAGTTGTAGTACTGTAGTAGTACTGTAGTAGTAGCACTATAGTAGTACTGTAGCAGTAGTACTTTGTAGTAGTACAGTAGCAGTACTGTAGTAGTAGTACTGTAGTAGTACTGTAGTAGTAGCACTATAGTNCTATAGTAGTACTGTAGCAGTAGTACTTTGTAGTAGTACAGTAGCAGTACTGTAGTAGTAGTACTGTAGTAGTACTGTAGTAGTAGCACTATAGTGGTACTGTAGTAGTACTGTAGTAGTAGCACTATAGTAGTACTGTAGCAGTAGTACTTTGTAGTAGTACAGTAGCAGTACTGTAGTAGTAGTAGTACTGTAGTAGTACTGTGTAGTAGTACTGCAGTAGTAGTACTGTAGTAGTACTCAGCAGCAGTACTGTGCGGTACCTTGTGGTGGGCGGCGGCCTCAGACGGTAACATGGCGTCTAGAGGCAGACGAGTTCTGAGGTCGTCTGCGATGTTCTGAAGGATCACAGTTCTGTTGTCGAGAAGAAGATCATCGAGATCATCTGCAGGACGGAGACACACACACACACACACATATATATATAAACATTTATGTTTGTAAACATAAACATTTACAAACAAACTGACAGAAAGTATTTATAAGATGTTGAATGCTAATAAAGAGGGAATTTAACTGTCTTTGATTCTTTTATTTCAAAAAAAGTTTTCTTTATTCACATCTAGACAGTGGTGAGATGTTTGTGTCATTTGTTGTTTGTTTGTTTGTTTGTTGAATCATTTTAACAAGCGACCAGTTTTCAGTTAAAGTGAACACCTGCTTGACAATTTCTTATTTTCTGGAAATATCTGAACAAGGTGATTCGTTATATCAAGGATTTTAACGTTGTTTA